GAGGGTATAAAATACCATTATTCTCCATTTTATGAAAGAAGAAACAGATTCAGAAAAGTTAAGTGACTTGTCCCAGGTCATTCAACTCCTGAGTGAAGAGGTGAGACTATGAGACTAGCACATGCACCGTGTTCTCTCCTACATACTGCACTGTAGTCACTAGTGAACTTTTTTCCTTTCCTTTCCTTTCTGCTCCCCAAACATGCCATGTTCAATGCTTTTCAAATGCTGATCATTATGTTCTTAATATTGTCCCCACACTCTCCTCCCCTGTCCACAATGTCCAACTACTACTTTTCCTCTAAATTTCAGTTCAATCATCCTTCCTTAGGGGAATTTCCCTGATATTTCTGTTAAGGTTTAGTCTCCTTATTACACACTCCGCACTCACTTTGTTCTGGCACTTCACAGTTATAATTTTACACTTATTGCGTGATGCTTAGTCTAATACACTAAGCTCTGGGGCAGGGCCCATGTCTGTTCTTTGCTTTCCATTCTATCTCCAGCTTTTAGCACAGCATCTGGCATTTTCTAAGTGCTCAAATATTTATGGAATGAAAAAGTAAACGAATATATTTAATTTAGTGCTCTATGTTAACTAGAGCATGCAAAAACAACCAAACACACAAAAACAAGCAAACAAAAACCCTGACCTGTACTTTGCAGCTCACAAGTAATTTAATCAAAGAGGCATAGTCACCCAAACTGTAAACACAAACTACAATAAAACAAAGCAAAATAAAACCATCAGCATTACTTTGAGCTTTAGGATATAGGGCTTATTATCTTACTAAATTACATCTTCCTCATAATGGTGGGCAAGAAATTCTTTAAAAGAATTGTTTTAAGATTAACTTTTTGTTTCTGAAAATTATACTTTTAATATATACTATAACAAGTAAATGCTGCTAGCATTAGCTATTATGTCACTCAAACATTAATCCTACTAAAGCTACTAATTTCTTTTTCTAGTAAATCTGGTGATATACACTTGGACATAAAGAGCTCTTGGAAGGACTATGCCTGAATTTTAATCCTAGGGCTATTACTATTTATCAAACCTCACTCTTGCTTCAGGTTCCTCATCTGTAAAATAGGGAAAATAGTACTTACAGTGTTGTCACAGGAATTAAAGAAAATAATTTAATTATTTTCGAATAATATTTAATTTTTTTTGAATAATTTAATTCTATTAGAATATTTTCGAATGCAAAGTGCATTCGAAGCACTTTCAACAGGGCCTGACGTTAATCAACTTGTGTTAGCTATTATATTATTATGGAATAATTCTGTGATGTTTACATTTTTTACATGTATATCCTCCATTCTTAAGACAAAACAAATTAGAATGAAGAACACTAGAGCAACCAAATCTATTATTTCCATGTTTTCAGAGAAAGTAGGACCATACTAACCTATCAGATGAGGGATTGACTTATTCAAACTTCCTAAACGTGGCAAAATTAAAAAATAAGTCTTTCTGGAGAAGGCGTTAAGAATAATAATTTTCCTACTCCGTTTTCCTACAAAAATAGAGCAAAGTATTTTTTTGGTAAGTCAGCATAAAATATTTTACCATGGATTTTTTTTTTGAGGGTGGGAAGGAGAGTTTGTTTTGTAAACCAAAAAATATTTTTATCAATGTTAAATGGTCTTATTCTGGCTGAAAAAGCCCCATAGCCTACTTCTTCCACTACAACTTCCCCTTATTTACTACACTCCAGTGATAATGGTTCTTTTTATCTATCCAACTCCCCACGTTTACTTCCTCCTGCTCTCCCTCTCCCATACTTTCCAAGTTTTGTACTTTTTTTCACTCTTTAGAAGCTCAGGGAAGGCTTTCCTGATCTCTCCTTTTAACATAACTCCCACTTCTCTGTAACTCTCATGGTATCACTATTTCTATAATAGCACTCCTTATTATCACACAGGATTTTGTTTGTACATTTGCTTTTCATTTATTGGCATATAGTAAGGGCTCAAATAAATATTTTCTGAATGTGAATGAACTATGTAGTAGTTCAAAGACTAATGTAATGATATAGAGAGATTGCTAAGGTATAGCATAGTGAATTGGAAAAGCTTGCCACAGAATAATGTACAGTATGACCCCATTTTCATATAAAGACAAAAGGAATTTTTGTCTACATTTTGATGGATGGACACACACAAATGAACCGAAATAGGACTGGATGAAAACCCAAACTGGTAAGCATGAAGTAGGAGGAGTAGGTAAAAGTAAATTTATTTCTACTCTATAAATTTATGTATTACTTACATCTTTTTACCATTAGAGTTCACAAACTAATAATAAATATTGTATATGAGAGATTCAATC